AGACTCTTGGCACCATGAGGGCAAAAATTCTGCTTTTTAGCTTATTTTGTTTTTGAGACAGTAGTCTTACTATGTAGCTCTTTAAAAATCACTTTAAGAGCTGGGTGTAGGGCTGGAGAGATGACTCAGAGGTTAAGAGCATTGGCTGATCTTCCAGAGGTCAATTCCCAGCAGCCACATGGTAGCTCTCAACCATCTGTGATGAGATCTGGTGCCCTCTTCTGGCCTGCAGGGATACTTGCAGGCAGAACACTGAATACATAATAAATACATCTTAAAATAAAAATAGCTAGGTGTGGCAGCACAGGCCTTAATTCCAGTACTCAGGAGACAGAGACAGGCAGATATGCAGAGTTCAAGGCCAGTCTGGTCTACAGAGCAAGTTCCAGGACACCCAGGATGACATAGAGAAACCCTGTCTCAAAAAACCAAAACAAAACAAATAAAAAAACAAAAAACCCCAAAATAAATTTCTTCTTTCAATTCCATACAAACATAATGTATTCTGACCATATCCACCTCATTACCCTCTCTTACTGTCCCCCACTGAAACCTTCCTTCTTTCCAAGAAGTTCCCCTCTCACTTCTCCCTTTAATATTCCCACCAGCTATTTTAGTACATGGAATACACTAAAACTCAATGAATTTTTACTGAAAGATAATAAATATGTGTGTGTGTGCACATAAGAGGCCACATAGAATGCATTCCTGAATACACATATACTCACTCTTAGGAACCAGAGGAGTCAGGTTGCCATATCGATGGCCTCTGAGCTTCTTGGGATAGGCTACTTTCTAAACACAGGCACTTTTGAGGCAATGCCCAACATTGCCACACTCTCGGTCACAGTACCCTGTGCACCAGGTCTCAGGCTGCAAAAAGCAACACAGGCTTTCAGAAATACCCTTCACAGTGGATCCTGCAAGAGGTGGGGGTGGAGCCAGGGGCTGCTCGGAGGTTGTTCATGGGGTGGGCTCTGGAACCTCCACACCCTGCAAGCTCTCTCCTGCTGGCTTTCTGCCACCATCTTTCTCACTCTATCCTTTCCTCTTCCGTTTATCCTCCTCAGCCTTACCTTCCCCCTCTATTCTCTCTCTTGCCTTGCCTTCCTCCCTCCTCTCCAACACTTCCCTGGCCTATTTTCTCCTTCTATGTCTCCCGTCCTGAGCCCTGTGCCTCCCTTCCATCCTCCTGACCAATGTACCTCTTCCTCTGCCTGTCTCTCAACACTCTAGGTCCTCTCCGGGCTAGCCCAGATGATGAGGGAGTGCTGGTACCCCAACCCCTCTGCTCGCCTCACCGCACTGCGCATCAAGAAGACACTGCAGAAGCTCAGCCACAGCCCAGAGAAACCCAAAGTGATTCACTAGCCTAAGTCACTGGACTTCCTCTTCCTGAAGTGTGTGGTGGGGCAGAAGACATACCCTGTCTGGGTAGAGATAGTATGAGTGTGCACACTGCCCAGTGTGTGCCTGCCCAGCTTGGCCCACAGCCCATCCAGCCAAAAATACAGCTGGGCTGAAATTCAATCTGCCTCAGTCTAGCCTACTCAAAGTGGCCGGCTCTCTGACGCCTGGCTGGGCTCCCATCCCCAAGGCCAGCAGGGTACACCCCTACCACTCCCAGGGCAGGGTAGCCAAGCCAGGGAATCCCGGGCCTGGATCCTGGGCTTGCACTCTCCCCTACCCTTGGTCAACCTTACCACCCCACTAGAGCTGCCAGGATGGCACGGGGCCCTGTCCAGCTTCAGCAGACACTCCATCCTGCCAGGGCTCACTGGAATATACACAGCAGCCTCAGTTTCTCACTGTGGGTTTTATCACTTCAATGATACCTTTCAGTCTTCCGAACTAGACCCCTGGCTAGTGAATGCCAGTCTCTCTGGATAAGTGGTGTCTAATCCTGCCACCTTCGGTCCCCTTACCATCCCAGCTGACTTGTGAGGGTATCAAAACCCAAGGACCCTCTAAGGAGAAGGAAGGTGGAGCATGGTAGAGGAGACCCAGCACTGGGACTATCTCAGGATCTTAGATTTGTCCCTGGTATTCTTTGAGGCTTCACTGACCCTCAGACCATGTGAAAGCTCAGGTCATCACTCTCCCATCAACTGCTCCCATCCTCCTCCCTGGTTGTTTGCCTCAAACTGGGGTTTGTTATAACTCTGAGTCCAGGACAGCCTAAAAAGTGCCTCCTGGTCCACTCTCCAAATCCCTGTTCTTGCCTGAAACTGTTCTACTGGCCACCCTAGGACTCAGGCAGCACTGAACCCTCCATCTCCCCTTGTGGCTTGTCCTTCTCTGTCCCAGGGCTCAGGGGTGGCTTCCTCTGGACTCTTCAAGACTGAAATGAAATTTGGATCCTGTCAAGAAGCCTCCAGCTACCATGGTTCTGCTCCCTCATGGCCTTGATTCTGGCCAAAGCCCACACCCTAGGCCAAGCTCCAGAATGTGTACCTCAGGAGAACTTGGCCAAGAACAATACTCAAAAGTCTGGCATTTAGAAATGTGAAGAGTATATACCCATGTGCTGAACAAGTGAAACTGAAGCCTGGGGAATAGACTGAAGAGAAGTGGGTTGTAGGCAAGGCTTAAGGAGGGCAGGGTGGGGCTCAGACAAGAAACAAGCTCATCCTCAATCTTGGGAAGACCTGGCCTAGAAATCCTTGGCCATTGCAGGGAGAAAAGACAGCTCGCACACACACACACACACACACACACACACACACACGTGAGCCCATTGCGTGCCTCTGTTGTGTGTCCTCCGGTCACTGCTCTTTCTCAAGCCTCTCTCTCAGCATTGTACAAGGACCAAGGAGAACCAGGAAGTGAAACTAGATTAAAACAGAAAGTAGACCGGTGTTTCCCAGACCAGTGGGGCAGAGTCAGATGATCTGGTCATTCAGGGAATCGCCTTCCCGCCTGAACTGAACTTGGGAACAAATTACTCCTTGGATTTCACAGCCAGAAACTGAAGACAGCAGCTCCACCATGGCTAGGAAATCTCCAAGTGGAGAGCATCTAAGGGATGGGGATGAGTGACCCGGGAATGTCAAGGAAAGGGGCTCTCTAGAGACAACTAACTCCAAATTCTTCTAAGTGCAGGTGTGCGAATGGAACCTACTTTTCCGTACTTGGAGATATCGTTTATGGGAGCACTTAGCCAATGGCATGCATCTAATAGGTCCTCAATAAACCGTAGTTGCCCCCTGAGTTTCTTCTCCGTCTTCTAAGGTTAGTACCTCCGCAGTGGTCCAGTTGCAGAGGTCCCGAGAGAACCCGAGGGGACGGGAAGCAGAGGATCCCAAAGCATAAAATCACCAAATTGCCCTTGGACATGACTGCTCTGGACCGCTCCCTTGCTTAGAACCGTGCTGAGGTTCAAACTTGAGATCCCACCCCTGGTAAGGAGCAGCCTGATCCACACTAGCCACGTCGCCCTCTGCTGGCCAACGCGCTGCCCAAGGCCGCCAGGCTCCCCTCTCAGAGCCAGCTGGCTCCTCCCAGCAGGTCCAGGACCTCCTCCCTCCCTGTCCCCACTGCAGCGCGCGTGCTTGCTCATGGTTGTTCTCTTAGGGACTGTGCCTGGTCCCTTGTGTCCTTACTCAGAAGCGGCTTCACCCCCTCCCTGTTCGGTTCCTTCATAAATCCCTCCTCAGGTGCTCTCCACCCCTTGTCTGGAATCAGTCCGCACCTCCAGAATGAAAAGCTCCCCTTACCTGGAAACCTATGCAGCTCAGATAGCAACTCAGGTCCCCTTCTGCCCGACCCAGGGAATTGTGAGCTCCATGCCACTGGAGGAGTGGAATAGAAAATGGAGGACAGGTACTGAAGGAGCCTTTTGTTACTGGCCAGCCCAGAAATACAAACTTTCTAAGAAGAGGGTGTTGAACCTGTCTTAGGAAAACAGGAAGGGCACCCCAGTACCTTCTGCCATTGACAATTTGGTGTACTACCAGTGCCTCCAAGAGGGCCCAAACCTGCAGCCTTCTGCACTGGGATCATGGGCCTCCTCCCTGGCACACATACCAGGCAAGCAAGACCTTCCCAGTGGACTCTGGAGGAAGCCCCTAGATGATGGGGATGCTAAAAGCACTCCTAGAGTGCCACCTTTTCCTTCCTTCAGGGTCCACGAGGCCCAGTGGTCCCACTGGCACACAGATGGTCACAGTATGGTTGAGGACTGCAAAAATGGCAATGGGAAAACAGCAGTGCAGGGTTTCCATGTAGGTTGGGCAGGATCTGGCAGGACTGACCCTTCACCATGCTGTTGGAAGAATCCTTGAGACGTCACTGTGGCCCAAGCGCTTGTGGGCACATGCACATCCCCATTATTGCTTTGGAAAGAAGACAACCCATACGTCCTCTTTGACCTGACTTCCTCAGGTTTCCTCAGGAAACCCCAGCTTCCGACTTCCTTATTACATATAAAATTCGAGGGTGTACAGCATGCTGAACCGAGTGAAGGTGGCCCCTACAGCATAGCCCTGATACTGAGGCTCAACTCTTCCTCTGCCAAGGCCTATTGGTACCCAGGCCTTTGTGGACAGTTCTTTTCTTCACAGTCTCTGCCCTCCCTCACACCAGCAGGTAAGGAAGGTGCCCTGCTTCTTCTGGCTTATCCCTCACATTAAATCAAAAGCCCAAAGCCAGGTGTAACTGGTACACACCTGGAATTTCAGCCCTTGGGAGGTGGAGGCGGATGATCAGGATTTCAAGATTATCCTCAACTACAAATGATTTCAGAGGTCAGCCAGGACTACAAAAGAGCAAAGAAATGATTAGCAGCCAAAGAGATGGCAAAATCTGCATGCTTTGAAAGCCCACCCTGAGATAGGGTGGGGGTGCATATGCCCAATCCATTGTCTCAGGGCTGTATCTGATGGTAGCTCCGGGTGGGCGACTTTTGAAACAAGCTGCCTCCACCAGGGCCACATTCAATTTGCTAGAAATAGAGACAGAGGGTTTCTTGACTTTGCATACAATTTGCATAATGTCATAGACACACTGTCTGTTTTCAGGCAGTTTCCAGGTTCAAGTGTTGCCACTGCTGCCCTGAGGGGTGTCATGATGAGATGAGTCTCTTTTCTGTTCTTTCTCACCCACCCACTCTTATTGACCTACATCTCGCCTGGAGGAGCACTTGGGGGCAGGGATGCTGTCCAGGGAGACACAGCAATGAGAAGCCAGCACCCTTATCACCTCCATCACCCACAGCCGGGCTGATTGCTCAAGGGCAACTGACAGCAGCAAATGAGGTAGAGGATTCAGGTATTCAGGCTGCTCTCCTGTCTCTGCTACCAGAACTGCCTGTCTGAATGTTCAGTCTTCTGACAGTTTGGAAGGAGAGGGAGAAAGACAGCTAGATAGATAAATAGATTAACCTGGGCTTGAGCCACCCAGAAAGCCTTGCTTGCCCCCAGATAATCATGTTAGGGCAACAAATCTAACCCTCAGTCAGCCACTCTCCCAGAAGATCCCTCTGAGCCACCAGAGTCCTGATTTGATAATTTTTGTTTTTTTTTTTTTTAAGACAGAATTTAAAAGTTAGACTGTTCTCCCTGTACTGACCAGGTTGGCCTTAAACTCTGCACCCTCCTTCCTCTAATCTCCAAGTACTGAGTTTCCCAGCATCTGTCACCACGCCCAGGTGGTGGACAGTATCCCTAAAGCATCTGATGGATAGAAAGAAGTCAGTCTGCTCTGCAGTCCCCTCCTCCCCTCCAGCAGCAAGTCTATGCCTATGCCGAGGGCCGCTGTGCCTGTCCCATGGCTGTACCTGTCCCATGGCTGTGCCCTTCACTAGCACCAGCCTAAGAGCTCAGAGGCAAACACCCAAAAGGGATAATTGGGATGATTGTCACCGAGCTGCTTATGACCTTGGCTGGTACTTGGCCTCTTCTCTGGGAAGGAGAGGGACTGGTAGAGATTAAGACAGGGTAATTCTCACTTTATAGTGACCTGTCTTGGTCACTGGAGCTCCCTCCTGTAGACTCCTAGCCTGGGGTCCCTGGTGTAGCCTTCACTGGATGCCAGGGCAATGAGTCTGGATCCTGGAAATCCCAAGGCAACTCAGTCAGGCAGACCAGCAGCAAGGCACTACCCAGAATTCCCAGTCTCTGGCATCCAATCCCCCTGGACCTGCCTCATCCCTTCAGGCAGGCGTTTCCTGTTGATAAGAAGCTCAGTTGCAAACACTGATAAAGAGATGAAAAAGGAAATCGACAGGCGGGATATAAAGGGTATTTGGTCTGCCTTTTCTACCCCTCTGCCCTCCCCTTCCAACTGCTTCCCAGAACCAAGCAGAAAACAGGCCCCCCACCTCCACACTGGACCTTACTCTGGTGGTTCCAGGAATTTGGCTTGAAGACTTGCATAGTTCTCAGAAGTCGGCCCTGGCACAGCCTGTCCCGGGAGGGGAGCTTTGGAGGCAGGAAGCACTGGGTGCTGAGTCCCCAAGTCTGGGGGCAAGGGCAGAGGCACAGGAAGGATGGTCCCACAGGTTGGTCCATCTGGATGAACTCTTCCCTGCCTCCTCGTCTCCCTCTTCTCAGAGGCCTGGATCCAAGTAGTGCTTAGGTGGCTGGCTGGTCTATAATTAGTGGATTTTCCATCCTTCTAGTCCCAAGATTATTGATGGAAAGTCTCAATAATTTTGACTCTACTAATTTGGAACCTGTGATCCTTCAGGACAAAACACGTGGCAGATACTTAGAAAAAACGAGCAAAGCAAACACATTTTCTAGGAGTGCCCTAGGTGCTCATGGGGTTTGGATTTGCAGAGGCTGATTTCTAAGTACCCTGCATGTAATTAGGCTGACATGCCACCAGGTGGGTGAGGAGGTGTAGCCTGTCTCTGGACTTCAAGTTGTCCTTACTCAGGGACAGAAGGCACCATGGTTTGATGTTTCGAAATTCTTCTTCTCCCTCCTCCCCTCAGATGCAATTCCTTAATAAAGCTGGCAAACATACAGAAATGCACTAGGTAATTTTGCATGCTCGAAGTTTAAAAATTAACTAGCCTGGGCATGTAGCACTGTGCTTGAACACTTGCCTAGCATGCATGGAGCCCTGGGTTCCATCCTCAGCACCACAAATAAAACAATAAAAGGAGCTGGAGAGATGGCTCAGTGGTTAAGAGACATGTTCAATTCCCAGCACCCACATAATGGTCTGTGACTCCAGTTCCAGGGAACCCAATGCTATCTTCTAGCCTCTGTAGGCACCAGGCACTCAAGTTGTGAACAGACATACATACAGGCAAAATAGCCATACATATAAAATAATAATTTTTTAGAAATTAAAAATAAAGAAAGAAAAAGAAGAGAAATATCTACGAACAGTTTGGACACTGTCTCCTGAATTTTTAACTATTTCTAGTCCTGGTTACAAAGCCAACAAAGCTCTCGCCCTACTTTGTGGCTCTCACTGTACTTTTGACACTTGATGGAATGAACAAAGGTGAGTAAAGGATTTTTATCCTTGTCAGAATTTCGATGATCAGTTAAGAGCTCTGGCTGCTCTTGCAGAATACCTGGGGGTTGATTCCCAGCACCCATATGGTGCTCATATCCATGAGTGACTCCAGTTGTATGGGATCTGAGGCTCTTTTTGACCTCTTTGAGCACTAGGCATGTAGCACAGACATACAGGCAGGGAAAACAGGTGCAGATTTAATTTTCTC